TTAAAAAAAAAAAACAAAAAAAACAAAGAGCCCAGGCCTGAGTTCAAGCCCTATTTCTCTCTCTCTCTCTCTCTCACTCACACACACACACACATACACAAATACATTTAATACACATAACTTAGGAATGAATATAGTGCACTTCAGAGTAGTATCCATTATTTGCCCTGGTCATTGAACGGATGACTAGAAGCTGCATCTTGATACTGGTGACAAAGTAGCCTGCACCATATAATGCTAGCTTTGGAAAAGTTAAAATTCAACGTCAAAATCAAAATGTAGTTTATACTGAATGTGAAATTTTATTTTTTTAAAATTTTATTTATTTTTTATGGTGAAAATACTGTACAATTACTATTTATTTTTTTGTCAGCCCTGGGACTTGAACTGTGGGCTTGGGCGCCGTCCCTGTGCTCTTCAGCTCAAGGTGAGCGGCTCTACCACTTGAGCCTTAGCGCCACTTCTGGTTTTCTAGTTTTTTTTTAATTTAATTTTTTTTTGGGAGGTCCGGTCATGGGGCCTGAACTCTGGGTCTGGGCGCTGTCCCTCAGCTCTTCAGCTCAAGGCTAGCGCTTTACCACTTGAGCCACAGCGCCACTTCCGGCTTTTTTCTTTTTGCTTATTTGGTGCTGAGGAATCAAACCCACGGCCTCAGGCATGCAAGGCAAGCACTTTACCACTGAGCCACCTTCCCAGCCCATCTAGTGGTTTTTATTGAAGATAAGAGTCTCAAGGACTTTCCTGCCTCAGCTGGCTTTGAACTGTATTCCTCAGATCTGAGCCTCCTGAGTACCTAGGATTACAGGCATGATGCACCGGTACCTGGCTTGAATGTGCAATTTTTTAAGTTAAAATTAACACTGATAAGCCAGTCAGTAGCTTCCTCCTATAATCCTTTCAACTCAGAAGGCTGAAATCTGAGAATTTCATTTCAAAGCCAGACAAGGCAGACAAATTCTTGACTTTTTTTTTTTTTTTTTTTTGCCAGTCCTGGGGATTGAACTCAGGGCCTGGGCACTGTCCCTGAGCTGTTTTTGCTCAAGGCTAGCAATCTATCACTTGAACCACAGTGCCACTTCCAGCTTTTTCTGTGTATGTGGTACTGAGAAATCAAACAGAGGGCTTCCTGCATGCTAGGCAAGCACTCTACCACTAAGCCACATTCTCAGCCCCATTTCCCAACTCTTTATCTCCAATTTACCAGCAAAAAACCTGAAGTATAGATGTGGCTCAAGTGATAAGAATGTAAGCTAGGGGCTGAGAAGGTGGCTCAGTGGTAGAGCACTTGCCTTGCATGCCTGAGGCCCTGGGTTTGATTCCTCAGCACCACATAAGCAAAAAGAAAAAAGCCAGAAATGGCGCTGTGGCTCAAGTGGTAGAGCGCTAGCCTTGAGCTGAGGAACAACGCCCAGGCCCAGAGTTCAGGCCCCATGACCGGACACACACACACACACACACACACACACACACACACACACACACACACACACACACACACACACACACACACACACACACACACACACACACACACACACACACACACACACACACACACACACACACACACACACACACAACGTAAGGTAGGTCAGGCATTGGTGGTTCATGCCGATAATCCTAGCTATTCAGGAGGCTGAGATCTGAAGGTCGAAGTTCAAAGCCAGCCTGGGCAGGAAAGCCTCAGCAACTCTTCAATTTATCATCAGAAAACCAGAAGTAGAGCTAGGCTCAAAGTTGTAGATAAAGGGTTCCAGGACAGCACCCCAGACCCTTAGTCCAAAACCCACAACCAACAATAACAAAAAAGAATGTCCAGCTGGGTGCTGGTTGCTCACACCTATAATCCTAGCTACTCAGGAAGCTAAAATCTGAGGATCAAAGTTCAAAACCAGCCTGGGCTAGGAAAGTCCGTGAGAGTCATCTCCAATTAACCACCAGAAAACTGGAAGTGGTACTGTGACTCAAGTGGTAGAGCACTAGCTTTGAGCTGAAGAGCCCAGGAATAGTACCCAAGCCCAGAGTTCATGCCCCATGACCAACTAATAATAATAATGTCCAGCTATAATCAGAAAAGGTTAAGTATAAATACAGGGCTCAAAGTGCAAGCCCTGTAACTAGCACATGCGTGCACACACATCAACCTATTTAAATGAACCACTGTATATAAGCAACATTGTTATTCCTTGATTCCAACCCCAGGAAGTAAGGGAAATCAAGGATTTAAGGTTTTTTTTTGTTTTTGTTTTTGTGTCCAGTCGTGGGGCCTGAACTCTGGGCCTGGGCGCTGTCCCTCAGCTCTTCAGCTCAAGGCTAGCACTCTACCACTTGAGCTATAGTGCCACTTCTGGTTTTTTTCTTTTTGCTTATGTGGTGCTGAGGAATCGAACCTAGGGCCTCAGGCATGCAGGGCAAGCACTCTACCACTGAGCCACCTTCCCAGCCCAATGATTTAAGTTTTACACTCAAGCACTGCTACTTGAGAACATTTGGAAATATTTTAGTAACCAATAGCTAACCTACAGGTTACTTTTTAGTAGAAAATAGCTATAAATAATAGCTAAATACAATAGATATAAATATTATCTAAAAATTATCTAAAAATCTACAGGTTGAATGATGGTAACTCATGCCTATAATCCTAGCTATTCTGGAGGCTGAGATCTGAAGATTCTGGTTCAAAGCCAACCAGGGCAGAAGAGTCTGTGAGACTCTTATCTCCAATTAACCACCAGAAAACCAGAAGTGATGCTGTGGTTCAAAATGGTAGAGCAGTAGCCTTGAGCACAAAGATGCTCAGGGACAGCACCCAGGCACTGAGTTCAAGCTCCATTACCAATATATAATAAACATCTATAGGTTACTCTTTTCAGCTTGTTGTAGAATTTAATTCTTTTACCACTATCCTCTTTAAAATTAATCTAACAAATTCTTCAACACAGCTCACAGTTCCTAAGGTTTAGTTTCATACTGGCAAAGTTGTATATATGATCCCACAGTTTGTAAATACATAATAGACTTTTGTTTTTGGTGCCAGTCCTGGGGCTTGAACTCAGGGCCTAGGCATTGTCCTTGAACTATTGTACTCAATGTCAATGCTCTATCACTTGAGCTTCAGCTCCATTTACATCTTTTTTTTTTTGCTAGTTAATTGGAGAAAACAGTCTCACAGATCTTCCTGCCTGGGCTGGCTTTGCAAGCTGATCCTCAGATCTCAGGCTTTTGAGTAGCTAGGATTACAGGCATGAGCCACCAGCACTTAGCTTCTACCTGAACTGGCTTCTGCCTGAACTGGCTTGACACCATGATCCTCAAATATCAGCACTCCGAGTAGCTAGGATTATTGGCAAGAGCCACCAGTGCCCAACATCATTTTATGACCACACACACACCAAAAAAAGGCCTGGTGATAGTGGCCCACATCTATAATCATAAATTACTCAGGAGGTTGAGATCTGAGGATTGTGGATAGAAGGCAGCACAGGTAGACAATTATGAGAGGCTCTTTGGGGGTTTGTGTTTGTTTGCTTTCTTGTTGTTTTTACCAAAAATAATATCCTTTGACGCAAATCACAAATCAACTGAACTGGCTTGCCATCTTGATTTCCTCTATATAACTCTCCATTCAAAGTTGAGTTTATTATGTGGCAGGCCAATTTTGTCCTTTACCAATAGGACTGACCCAAATTACTACTTGTACACACACACACACACACACACACACACACACACACACACACACACACACACACACACACACACACACAGTCAAGCACAAGAATGAAAACCAAGCTGGTAATCACACACACACACACACACACACACACACACACACACACACACACAGAGTCAAGCACAAGAATGAAAACCAAGCTGGTAATCAAAATCAGAACCAACGAGGCAGATCTTATTTTTATGGGTTTGGTTTTGTTTCGGGGGTAGGAGGTTTTTTAGTCTGTAGTCACCATGTGGCTTATAGAGAATAGGAATGCCATTCTATCTTCAGATAGTCCAAAGAATTGGATGAGACAATTTAAGCCAATTGTGTAAAAAAATGTCTATAAATGCCAGTGCCATTCTTCCCCTTGGCACTTCCCATTATCCTAAACCAACAGGATCCTATTCACTGAGAGCTGAGTTCCAAACATGAATAGACAGACTTTTATTGGGCGGGGGAAAGGAAGAAAATGATGGCATGTGAGAAGCCAGATTTCTTTTTTTTTTTTTCGGGGTCCAGTAGTGGGGCCTGAACTTTGGGCCTAGGCGCTGTCCCTCAGCTCTTCAGCTCGAGGCTAGCGCTCTACCACTTGAGCCACAGTGCCACTTCCGGCTTTTTTCTTTTTGCTTATGTGGTGCTGGGGAATCGAATCCAGGGCCTCATGCATGCAAGGCAAGTACTCTACCACTGAACCATCTTCCCAGCCCCGAAGCCAGATTTCTTTAAGTTTCTGTGTCATGCCTAATGTATATGGTATATTAGTAGAGTGGAATATAACTAATATAAGCAATCATCTAAAAGTCAGCCTAGGAAGAATAGCAGAGAATGTTTCCACAAACTTGTAATATGCTTGAGCTCTAATTCCAAAATATGAAGGAAGCAGATGACTTAATCAGTCAAAATATTACTTGAGCAGGGTGCTAGTGGCTCATACCTGTAATCCTAGCTACTTAGGCTAAGATCTGAGGATCACAGTTCAAAGCCAGTCTGAAGCCAACCTGGGCAGGAAAAGTCCATGAGACTCTTATCTCCAATTAACAATTCAAAAACTAGAAATGAAGTGGTGTAGAATGGAAGTAGTAGAGTACCAGCCTTAAGCAAAAAGAGCTCAGGGACAGTGCCCAAGCCCTCAGTTCAAAGCCCCATGACCGATCAAAACAAACACACACAAAATTAAGTTCTTAGAAGCCTGCTATGTTCAAGAGAGTCCTTCTCATTCTGTATAAACCTGCCAAGCCGATTTAATATGATAAAAACAGCACTTACATCCAATCTACATTACCTTTCTAGAGATTGAAGAGACATTCAAACCAAATCTTTGTGCTCTTTCCTTTAGCTTATCCAGGTTAACCTACAAAAATATAGGGATACTTTTAAAAATAAAAAGAAGGCAGAAACTATCATAAAACGCTAAGAATTCAGAAAAGTTTATAACATCAAAACAGTATGGTACTACACACTTGTAATCCCTGTATTTGGATGGGCTGAGGCAGGAGAGCTGAGTTTGATGCCAATGTGAGGTTACACAGTTATTTCCAGGTCAGCCTGGGGCACTGCCTGGAATAAAAACAAAAACCTGCTGGGCACCGGTGGCTCACGCCTCTATTCCTAACTACTCAGGAGGCTGAGATCTGAGGATCATGGTTCAAAGCCAGCCCGGGCAGGAAAGTCAGTGAGACTCTTATTTCCAATAAACCACTGGAAAACGGGAAGTGGTGCTGTGGCTCAAGCGGTAGAGCGCTAGCCTTGAGCTGAAGAGCTGAGGGACAGAGCCCAAGCCCAGAGTTCAAGACCCACGACCGACCAAAAAAAAACAAAACCACAAAAAAACCCCTATAACTTGTACTATCAAAGATATCATATTACAACAAACTTAGGAACTAACATAGCACCTATGCACTCCAATGATTATTGAAAAGCCTCTTCTAGAATGGAGTGAAGGTTTCAGCCCAGCCTCTATTTGTCAAAGGTAGCAAGAACTTAAAGAGATCAAAGTAGGCCAAACACTGCTTGAAAAAGGAACTGTTTATATAAAATATTACTTCCAAACAAGTCCATCATCCACAGCCTAAACCCATTCTTATACTAAGCTTCTGAAAATAGTTGTTTTTTTTTTGTTTTTTTTTGGTCGGTTGCGGGGCCTGAACTCTGGGCCTGGGTGATGTTCCTCAGCTCTTCAGCTCAAGGTGAGCGCTCTACCACTTGAGCCACAGCGCCATCTCTGGCTTCTTCTGCTTGTATGGTGCATGCAGGGAAGCACTCTACCACTGAGCCACCTTCCCAGCCCCTGAAAATAGTTCTTAACTCTATCTTCATCCAAAGACAAATTAACCTACCACTCAGCACTATGGTAATCTTTAGAAGACATATGCTGCCACTATCCAACTTGGTTCTCTACTCCCTCTTGTGGGAGCCTCGGTATAAGAGTTGTTATCTTTTCCTTTTTTCTATTTTTTTTTTTTTTGTCAGTCATGGGGCTTGAACTCTGGGCCTGGGCACTGTCTCTGAGCTCTTCAGCTCAAGGCTAGCACTCTACCACTTGAGTCACAGAACCACATCCTGAAAGTTGTTATCATAGGTTTAGAACATAGGTTTTTTTTTTGGGTCCGATCGTGGGGTCTGAACTCTGGGCCTGGGCGCTGTCCCTCAGCTCTTCAGCTCAAGGCTAGCGCTCTACCACTTGAGCCACAGTGCCACTTCCAGCTTTTTTCTTTTTGCTTATGTGGTGCTGAGGAATCGAACCCAGGGCCTAGAGCATGCAAGGCAAGCGCTCTACCACTGAGCCACCTTCCCAGCCCCTTTAGGACACGTTTTTAAAAATAACAGTAATGAAACATTTCAATTTCACTTACAACAGCAGGATTTTATAAAGCTGAACATATTTTATCACAGCATGTTTCATATTTTATCACAGCATGTTTCCATTTTCTAAACATGCTGACTTGGTCACAGTGACTAAGAAGGTCATTCGTATTTTTAATGTTCTTTTCTTTTTTTTTTTTAACGTTCTTTACCTACTCAGGAGGCTGAGATTTGAGGATTGAAACTCAAAGCCAGCCCAGGCAGGAAGGTCCATGAGATTCTAAGCTCCAATAAATCACCAGAAAACAGGAAGTACACTGTGGCTCAAGTAGTAGAGTGCTAGCCTTGAGCTGAAGAACTCAGAGCCCAGTGCTGTTGCCAGTGGCTCACGCCTGTAATCCTAGCTACTAAGGAGTCTGCTGAGATCTAAGGATTGTGGTTCAAAGCCACCCTGGGCAGGAAAGTCCCTAAGACTCATCTCTAATTAGCCACCAGAAAACCAGAAATGCTGCCATGGCTCAAGTGGTATAGCACCAGCCATGAGCTGAAGAGCTCAGTAACAGAGCCCAGGCCCAGAGTTCAAGCCTCACAACCAACAAAAATAAATAAATAAATAAATAAAATTAGCAATTATCAGCCAGAAGCCAGTGGCTCACATCTGTAACCTTAGTGTCTAAGGAAGTTGAAATCTCAGAATTGCAACTCAAAACCAATCTAGTAGAAAAGTCTGGGGGAGGCTGGGAAGGTGGCTCAGTGGTAGAGCGCTTGCCTTGCATGCTCGAGGCCCTGGGTTCGATTCCTCAGCACCACATAAGCAAAAAGAAAAAAGCCAGAAGTGGCGCTGTGGCTCAAGTGGTAGAGCACTAGCCTTGAGCTGAAGAGCTGAGGGACAGCACCCAGGCCCAGAGTTCAGGCCCCATGACTGGACCCCCCCCCCAAAAAAAAAAAGTCTGGGGGAAATAAAAGGATTAGAAGTGTGAACCAAGTGGTAGAATACCAGCTATGAGCAGAAAAAGCCAAACCAGAGTGCTAGTAAGTTCAAGCCCCAGTACTGGAATTAAAAAGAAAAAAATTAGACATTATTGACAGGGCTAGCGACACTGAGCAACTACTACTAATCCTGCCTGCTCAGAAGGCTGAGAACTGTAAGATCACAATTGGAGGTCAACCAGAGCAGAAAAATTTGCTGGACCTCATCTTCAAAACAATCAGCAGCCAGGAACCTGTGGCTCACGCCTGTAATCCTAGCTACTCAGGAGGCTGAGATCTGAGGATCGCAGTTCAAAGCAGTTCAAAGTCAGCCGGGACAGGAAAGGGCAGGAAAGTCCGTGAGACTCTTATCTGCAATAAACCACTAGAAAACTGGAAGTGGCACTGTGGCTCAAGCGGTAGAGTGCTTGCCTTGAGCTGAAGAGCTCAGGGACAGCACCCAAGCCCAGAGTTCAAGCCCCATGACCAACCAAAAAAAAAAAAAAAAAAAATCAGCAAAAAATAGGACCAGAGCCCGGCACTGGTAGCTCACACCTATAATCCTAGCTACTCACGAGAGTGAGATATGAAGATCGAAGTTCAAAACCAGCCCAACGCAGGAAAGAGACTCTTATCTCCAACTAATCACAGAAAAAGCCCAAGCAGGAAAGTCCACGAGGTTCTCTAATTAACTATCAAAAAAACTCAAAGTGGAGCTGTGGCTCAAGTGGTAGGGTGCTAGCCTTGAGCAAAATAACACCAAGATAGCACTCAGTCCCAGAGTTCAAACCCTAGGACTGGCCAAAAAAAAAAAAAAGTAGGGCTGAAAAACCCTACAAAATTTCAAACTCGAGCTCGAAAATTAGGCCTAGATTCAATTTTCAATTCCTAGTATCAGCAAAAACTAAATATAATGATATTATCTAAAGCCAATGGACAAGGCCTGAAACTCCAGTACCATAAGACAAAGAAACTGTTCTCTAGCTAACATTTATTTATCCTTTCTAAACAAGGAATGGCACAATACACGGCAATTTCCCTAACTCCTCTGTATCTCAATCATTTTTTCATTACTATTGTTATTTTTAGGTTTGGGAAAAAATTTTTCATAAAGTAAAAGACTAAAATATTACTATACTTATTATCATTATTCAGGACATACAACATATATCAAAAAAAAAAGTTACCAAACCTATGACCTGTAGAATATCTCTGATTCAAGGAAGTCTCTAATTTTAAAAACTAACTGTATAGAGTTAAGATCGGTTTTAATAAGGAATAAAAAAAGATTGCATACCATAGTCTTGTTATCAGACGACAGACCTAAGGAAGCAAAAAAGAATTTTATTTAATATTCTTAAGTCATAAATGAAGCCAGTAATATGACAACATAAAAAACAGTATATAGGGCAAATAACGTTTATCTAATAATGAAAAAGAAAAGGCAGAAAATTCATCTAGAGATGATGTATGCATTCACTGCTGGTGGGAACATAAATAATGAGTCTGTTTTGGAGTTGGCAGATACTTTAAAAAAATTAAACATAAAAAGCCAGGCCTTGATGGCTCAAGCCCCTAATCTTAGCTACTCAGTAGGATTGAAACCAGCCCTGGCAGGAAACTTCTTGAGACTCTTATCTCCAATTAGTTACAGAAAAAAACAGGTAGAACTGTGGGCTCAAGTGATAGAGCACTAGCCTTGAGCAACAGAAGCTTACAGACAGAGCCCAGGCTAAGTTCAAGCCCTAGGACTGCCCCCTCTCAACTCCCCACACACCAGCAAAAAAAAAAAAAAAAGTTAAAACATAGCTGGCCACTGGTGGCTCATATCTGTAATCCTAGGTACTCAGAAAGCTGAGATCTGAGGATCATAGTTTGAAGCTAGCTTGAGCTAGTCCATGAAATTCTTACTTCCCATTAACCGCCAAAAAAACCCCAGAGTTAGAGCTGTAGCTCAAGTGGTAGAGTGCTAGCTTTGAGGACAAAAGCTCAAGCACAGCACACAGGCCCTGAGTCCAAGCCCCAAGACCAACACATACATACAAAAAAAGTTAAACATACAATTACCATTGACCTAGTAATTTCATTCCTAGATAAATATCCTAGACAAAGATACACAAATGTTCATAGTATTATCCAAACTAAACAAAAAGTGCAAACAACCCAAACATTCCAGAATTTTCTTTCATTCTTTCATTCACTTTGGCAATATTGGATTCTAAAACTCAGGGCTTTCCCCTTGCTACCAAAGCACTCAACCACTTGAGCCTCCCATTTCCTGCCTTTAAGACACTTTTGCTATACCTTTACCAAATCTTTTCTTTTTTTTTGTCAGTTGTGGGGCTTAAACTCTGGGCTTGGGCGCTATCCCTCAGCTCTTCAGCTCAAGGCTAGCACTCTACCGCTTGAGCCACAATGCCACTTCCAGTTTTCCAGTGGTTTATTGGAGATAAAGAGTCTCACAGACTTTCTTGCCTGGGCTGGCTTTGAACCATGATCCTCAGATCTCAGCCTCCCGAGTAGCTTGGATTACAGGCACGAGCCACCGGAAACTCGGCTTTACCAAATCTTTTCTTATCCACATATACATACTTTTTTTTTTCATTTTCTGGTGCCAGTCCTGGGATTTGAACTCAGGGCCTGGGCACTGTCCCTAAGCTGTTTCTGCTCAGGACTACCATTCTACCACTTGAGCCACAGTTCCACTTCTAGTGTTTTTGTGAGTAACTGGAGATAAGAAGCTTTCATTTTGGACTTTCCTACCCAGGCTGCTTCTAACTTGGATCCTCAGATCTCAGCCTCCTGAGTAACTAGAATTACAGTATAAACCACCAAAACCAACACTTTCATTTTTGACCATAATGAAGTGGGTTGTTTTTGTTGTTATTTGCTTCATGTTTTGGTCAGTTGTGGGTCTTTAACTCGGCCTGGGCACTGTCCTGCAGTTCTTTTTTTTTTGGGGGGTCCAGTCGTGGGGCCTGAACTCTTGGCCTGGGCGCTGTCCCTCAGCTCTTCAGCTCAAGGCTAACGCTCTACCACTTGAGCCACAGCGCTACTTCCGGCTTTTTTCTTTTTGCTTATGTGGTGCTGAGGAATCGAACTCAGGGCCTCATGCATGCAAGGCAAGCACTCTACCACTGAGCCACCTTCCCAGCCCCTGTCCCGAAGCTCTTTAGCTCAAGGTTAGCGCTCTACCACTTGAGCCACAATGCCACTTCCAGTTTTCTAGTGGTTTACTGGAGATAAAAAGAGTCTCACTGACTTTCCTGCTTGGGCTAGCTTTGAACCATAATCCTCAGATCTCAGCCTCCTGAGTAGGTAGGATTACAGGTGTGAGCCACCAGTGTACAGCTCATAATAAAGTTTGAACTCAAGATCTTACACTTACTTGGTTGGCTGATGCTCTACTACTTGGCTTTTTGCTATTTTGGAGATGGAAGTCTCACAAACTTTTCTGAATAATTTAGCCTCAAACCACAATCTTCTGATCTCAGTCTCTTGAATAACTAGGATTAAAGGCCTGAATCCATCAATATCTGGCTCCATTCAGGTTTGTTTTGGGGCTTGAACTCAGGGCCTGGGCTCTGTCCCTGAGACTCTCTGTGTTCGGTCCATGAGCATCTTTGTGCTAAAGGCTAGCGCTCTACCACTTAAGCCACAGTGCCACTTCCAACTTTTTCTGTTTATGTGGTACTAAGGAATTGAACCTAGGGCTTCATGCATGCTAGGCAAGCACTCTACCACTAGGCCACATTCCTAGCCCAATAAAATTATTTTTTAAAAACCCAGGGCTGGGAATGTGGCTTCGTGGTAGAGTGCTTGCCTAGCATGATGAAGTCCTGAGTTCAAATCCTCAGTACCACATAAACAGAAAAGGCCAGAAATGGCACTGTTGCTCAAATGGTAGAGTGCTAGCCTTGAGCAAAAGAAGCTCAGGGATAGTGCCTAGGCCCCAGTGTCCAAGCCCCAGAACTGACAAAACAAAACAAAAACCCACAATAATACTAATTTTATTATCTTAAATAGTATACAACAGGGTTATAATTCAACATGTCAGTTTATACCTTTTTTCATGTTCTTTTATAATTAAAATAGGAACATATTTATTGATTTTTCATTTACTATCATTCTTTTATTTTCTTTTTGTTTGTGATAGTAGGATCAAACCTTGTGCATGTCCAGTAAGTACTCTATTACTGCATTACATACTTAATTTTTGAGAGAGGGTCATTATGTAGCTTAGGCTGGCCTTAAACCAGCTTAAAAGCAGGCAACAAAATTGAGATCCTTTAGCCTTTGCCTTCTGACTGTTGGGTTTACAGATGTATACTACCACTCTGGACTTGACTTGTTGTTTTTGTGCCAGTTAACTGGGGATTGAACTCAGTGCCTGTCCTTAGCTTTTCTTGCTCATGGCTGGCACTCTAACACTTGAGCCATCCCTCCACTTCCAATTCTGCTTATTAGTTGGAGATCAGAATCTCATGGACTGGTCTGGCTTCAAACTTTGATCCTAGCCACCACTAGTGACTCACACCTAATCCTACCTATGCAGGAAGTTGGGATCTGAGGATTATGGTTCAAAGCCAGCCTGGGCAGGAAAGTACAGGAGACTCTCATCTTCAATTTAGCCACCAGAAAACTAGAAGTGGTACTGTGTTTCAAAGTGGTGGCTCAAAATGGTAAAGCGCTAGGCTAGTCTTAAGCAAAAACAAAAACAAAAAAAACTCAGGGACAGTGCCCAGGCCCTGAGTTCAAGCCCCATAAACAAACAAAAAAAAAAGCTTTGATCCTCAGAACTCAACTTCATCAGTAGATCACAACTGTGAGTCACTGTACCTGGCTAGAATTTTATTTTTAACATAGAATAGTCTGCTATACTACAACATAGATTTATTTATCCAATTATTTTATATATTTTTTATTATTTTCAGTTATTAATATCTAAAAATAAATTCTTAGTTTCAAATACATTCAAGATTATTTCCTTTTAAGTTCTTAGAAGTAAAATAATGAAGGTAAAATATAGTCTTTTCCCTTTTACCACTTATACTATCCCATAATACTGATAATTTTATGCTGAAAAAAAAGCAATTTCATGCTGATAAGACAACAGACTAAGTAAGAAAAGTAGTAGAAAAGTCTCTGGGAATATGCAGGGAAGCCAAGACAAATGGTGGCAGCTCCTATTTCTTATAACATCAGAATTCACTCTTACTTAACTGCTTGAAAATCTTAAATATGACTTAATCTGAAACAACACAAACACTACAACCTCTTAAGGACTTCCAGAACTAACATGTTTACCTAAATTTGAAATAATGAAATCTTTATCAAAAAAGAAAGTAAGTAACTTTCTCATATGATCTTTGTACTCTTACCTTTTGTTGGAACAGAAGAAATTCCAAACCTGCAGGAAGAAAAACAAGCTAAATTTTAGGAAGCTGTTCACACTCTTGGTTGTCCCCAAGTCAAGGGTATATGACACTTCTAGCTTGTGATCTCAAGTTTTGCAATCATTAGCTAATTCTAACAACCCTATGAAAGAGGTTCACTTTACTCTCCTTCTCACCAAGAGTCAAGGGAATATACTAAAAGGAATCTTTATCCGTCAGTTCCTGACTCTTACCTATTATAAAACCTAATGATTAATAAAGGCCCATCTATACCACATTCAGATCAGCAGAGATATTGTAAGAGTTAGAATGTGTTCATTTCCTTTTAGCTGGGTATTATTCTACTTAAAACCAACAATTATAATGAAAAGTAGAAGTCACACGCCTAAGCTTTCATAACTATGAGATCCAAAAAGCTGGAGACACTCACCTAGCTGCACGAGCAGCTTTCTTACTCTCCAAACTGACAGGTACATTGAATCGTTCAGCCCTCTTCTGCATTCTCTAAGTGAAAACAGATGAAAGAGGAAAAGAAAAATTTCAGTTTCTAGATTTGAAAAGTTGGTTAGAAGCCAGGTAGCACTAGTTCATAATCCTAGCTACTTAGGAAGCTGAGATCTGAGGATCCCAGTTCAAAGCAAGCCCAGGCAGGAAAGTCCATGAGACTCTCATCTCTGATTAATCACCAAAAAGCAGAAAGTGGAGCTGTCCCTCAAATGTAGAGCACTAGCCTTGAGCACAAAAGCTCAGGGACAACTCCCAGACTCTTGAGCTCAAGCACCAGGATTAGCACAAAATAAAAAAAAAGTTGGTTAAAGGTTTACTTTACAGATATCAGTAGTAGTTTTAAGGATCTAAACTTAAAACATTGACAGTCCTCGGAGCTGGGAAGGTGGTTCAGTGGTAGAGCGCTTGCCTTGCATGCATGAGGCCCTGGGTTCAATTCCTCAGCACCACATAAGCAGAAAAAGACGGAAGTGGCGCTATGGCTCCAGTGGTAGAGCGCTAGCCTTGAGCTGAAGAGCTGAGGGACAGCGCCCAGGCCCAGAGTTCAGGCCAAACAACCAACAAAAACAAAAAACAAAAAAACAAAAACACTGACAGTCCTAGATTCTATTAGGTTGTATGTATCCTAAAAGCTTAATGGAACAGATATTTCCTGAAAGCAAACACATACAGGTGTGCATACACAAACTCCCTACTACCTTCATGCTCTAGAAACAAAAAGGAAAAATAAAACCCACATTCTGCATAAAGCCAAAAACATGTTATCTTTGGTTGATCTTTGGAAAAAGAGTTAAAAAATAACTTGGCTCTAACTGTAGTGGTAATTTTTCAGTTAGAAATGAGGCAGGGCTGGGAATATGGCTTAGTGGTAGAGTGCTTGCCTAGGATGCATGAAGCCCTAGATTCGATTCCTCAGTACCACATAACAGAAGAAGCCAGAAGTGGTGCTATGGTTCAAGTGGTAGAGTACTAGCCTTGAGCAAAAGAAGCTCAGGGACAGTGCCCAGGACCTGAGTTCAAGTCCCGAGACTGGGGGGAAAAAAAAGAAATGAGGCAGCAGCAACTCATGGAATTCTAAAATTTTAATAGTTCCTACCTTTGAAAGGTATAAAACTTAACAGAAAATATCAACTAGAAGCTGGTTTGAGATTTTGAGATAGAATCCAAATAAATTTTAATATCACCTGCTAGCAGGTAATAATTTAAAGAGGACACTATCACTGCTACTTTTTCAAGCCTATCAAACTCTAATCATAAGATGACAAAATTTTAAATAAGAAGACTATTTCAAAGCTGATACCCTATGTCATACCAAATATTCTCCAAAGAATAGTTAAAATTCCACCATAAAGGTGTCAATACTGATTTTCTGCTGTGAAAAAATTCTGAAATGATCATGCAGATAAAATGAAGGGCAAAAAATAGAAATGGCTAGGCATGACAGCACATGCCTGTAATCCCAGCATTCAAGAGGCTGAGATGGAAGGCTCACAGTTTGAGGCCACACTGGGCTCCATAACAAGATACTGACTGAAAAAAAAAACAGACAAAAAGAGACAGACACAGAGACAGAGACTGACACTGCTCTAGTAAGGAGCAGAATTCCTACCTCAGTCTGTGATATTTCAGATGTAATTTTTACTACCTTCTTCTCTGCTGCCCTGAAAAAGAAATATTTTTCAGAAATCAGGAAATTGGTATTTTATATCAAAACCTTAGAAATGTACAAAAAGTTGCGCTGCCACTGTTAGCTCCCCTGCAACCTCTTAATCCAAAGAAAACTCTGGCTCCTTTTCTTTTACTGAGAAGAAAAAGTTCAAATAAGACTGTTTCTTTATCTGAGGGGGGATGGGAATGTGGCTTAGTGGTACAGTGTGCTTGACTAGCATGCATGAAGCCCTGGATTTGATTCCTCAGTACCATATAAACAGAAAAAGCCGGAAGTGGTGCTGTGGTTCAAGTGGTAGAGTGCTAGCTCTGAGTGAATGAAGCTCAGGGACAGTGCCCAGGCCCCAAGTCCAAGCCTTAGAACTGGCAAAAAAAAAAAAAAAAGAAAAAAGTCAACAGGAAGTCTAGTTTAATATTTTGGGCTAAAGAGAAACACTCAAAGGATATAAAAAATGATTTCACTTTTTTCCTAGGAACTTTAAATTTACTTTTGGACTAATGACTAGTTCTCCAAACCTAATTTAAATAGCAGCTTCCAATTTTTATCACAACAATAACTAATGAGTACTCAATAAGCCCCAATTTCCTTGTTTTACAAATCCCTTATTTCTCCCAAGGGGACTGTGGCCCTAGTTGAAGCAGTCAAATTGGAACAAATAAAAATGCCAAAGAGAGTGAGAAGAAAAAAGCTTAAGGGGGGGGGGGGGGGGGGAGAGTAGAATTAGGAAAACATGGCAAGTTACAGGCAAAAGGTTTAAGAGAAAACAAAAGGGGGGACCATAGGGGCGGGAGACAAAGTTCAGAAGTACCTAGGATAAATGGAAGGGCATTAACTCTCCAACAAACAACTCCAATAAAACTGTGGGTCATAACCAGTCTCATTAAGGTCCCTCATTTAGAGACATGAACAGCTTTTGTTCCAATACCCCGGACACTTTTCCCATTTGATGCCCTGAAAGGTAGTAATGGTTTAATGACATTTTCAGAGGAAGCAATTCTGGAACAGGAAGCTACTCTCTCCTCCATCCTTTTGTTGGGAGGTCCCTGAACCAAAAGACAAGCAATGGGTGCCCCCTGCTGACCATATCTAAGTCCTACAACATTTAACTACCTTGGGTGCAAAACAAAACAAAAAACAAACCAGCCATCAAATTAGAAAGTTATATTCATGAAGCATCTCAGGCCAGAGTTGAAAAAGAGGATTCCATTCTGACTATTCAATGACACTTTCTAACTTGTTCAAGCAAAAAAAAAAAAACACCCACAGAAGTTTAATGTTTTACTTGAAGATCAATGTCAGTACGAGAGCAATCCTCTCAATCAACCACAGATTAATGACTTCCTTCTTTTCATCTTTGAAGACAATCACTGTAGTAGAACTCACGGCAGAAAAGGAACTAATTCAAGAGAGTTCGGACCACTTATATTCCAACTCAAGACACAGACAAAACTCAAGTAATAATGCCTATCACATTCTGGGGGCTCATGATGTATTTCTACTCTTCACCTCCAAATCACAAAAACTACTCTAATTACACATTTAACAAATGCTAAAGATAGTCAACGTCTTTCAAAGCTCTACAAACTTCCAAACCTCATTATTTTAACCTAAAGAAGCTAATTATTATTGCATTCAGTTGATCTTACTTCTTGTCCCAGAAGTCTCCAAAATATCCCTATTTTAAGGTTCTCACTAATTTAAATAAATTTAAATTCATGTTCTCAGGGCACTGTATCTTATTACAATGGGAGCCATGGCTGATGCCTGGCTCATGCTTATCATCCCAGCTACTCGGTAGTCCTAGGTCAGGAGGATCAGTTCAAGGCCAGCCTAGGCAAAAAAGTAAGCAACATATACCTTAACAACAAAAATTGGCAAAGCAGTGTGCACCCATCATTCTAGTTAGTTGGGAAGCCTAAATATGTAGGCTACAGTCCAGGCCAACACAGGCAAAAACCTGAGATCCTATGTTAAAAACAAAGTAAAAATTTGAAGACATGGCTCAGCTGAGAGCTCCAGTGGAACAAGCAAAAAAGCAAGCAAACATCATGTCCAGAATTCAAAACCCAATATAGGCAAAAACAAGACAAAACTGATACCCATTTAAGCTAGGCACCAGTGCTCATGCCTATAAACCTAAACTACTTAGAAAAATAAGATCTGGAGGATCCAGGTGTAAAGCTAACCCAAGCAGAAAATCCAAGAGACACCATACCCAAAAACAAACCAGCAAAAAGCCAGCCTGGAGGCATAACTCAAAGGGCAGAATACAAGCTGAACAAGCAAGTAAAAATCAAGCCAATACACCGACTTATACTCTCAGTGCCAGCAAAAAAAAAAAAAAAAGTTATTGTACAGGAAAGATTACCTAACATGAAAGAAAACTCAAGAAACTGTGTATAGTGTGTTTATCTGTATCCACATATAAACATAAATATATTCCTATACACACAGGTTAAATACTCTCAAAAGAATCTACTAAAAACTTCTGTGAAGGCTTACTGGAAGGAACAATGATGTAGCTTAGTAGTATAGTGCTTGACTATACAAGAATATACAAGGTCCCTGAGTTCTATCCCAATTTCAATTTCCTCAGAAATGAGGGATAAAAAAATGTCTGACAAGAAATACTTAAATTTATATACTCTTCCATGTACTATTTCTTTTGTTTACTTTTTTTTTTTTTGGTCAGTCATGGGGCTTGAACTCTGGACCTGGGCACTATCCCTAAGCTCTTCAGCTCAAGGGTAGCACTCTACCACTTGAGCTATACCTCCACTTCCAGTTTTCTGGTGGTTTATTGGAGTCTCTCGGACTTTCCTGACGAGGCTAGCTTTGAACCCCAATCCTCAGATCTCGGCCTCCTTAGTAGCTAGAATTAAGGCGTGAGCCACCGACGCGCAGTCTTTTTTTAAAAAAAAATTTTCTATACTTAAATCTACTTCATACAGCTATCAGAAACAAAAATGATAGAAGGGACTCAATTTTTCTTAATGTGCTAACAAAATGATTATTTTGGGAAAGAACCCTGAACAAAAATGCCTATCAACCTTATAAGATGGTTTAAACAAACTGAAACCGATTTTCCATTCTAATATTGGTCTTCCTTTCACTATATATCACAAAGAAAGGATATAGCGTTACTTGAGAAATAAAACATCTGCTCAACTCCCTCCTTCACTACAAAACTCCTTTTATGCAATTTTATACTTTTTACTGGTTAACTGGAAAGAGAATTTCACACAATTCTGCCCAGGCTGACTTTGAACCACAAACCTCAAATCTCAGATTCCTGAATAGGTAGGATTACAGGTATGAATGAGCCTGGCCAGTTTATATTTTTCTATAAGACTGTAGTTCTAGAAGAATAACAGTTTACAGAATTTTATGTAACAGATAATCTTACAGATCCTGCAGTAATTCTTATGATGATCCTATGAAGGAACTAAGACAAATACTAAACTATTTCTGAACTTGAAGATATCTGGTTTTAATCACCTATTATATAACCTGAAGACAAACTGCTTTACTTCACCTGAAAATTCTGGGTTTTTATTGTTGTTGTTTTTGTTTGTTTTGTGCCAATACTGGGGCTTAAACTGAAGCCTCATACTTGCTTAGCTTTTTTGCTTAAGGCTGATCCTCTACCATTTGAGGCACACCTTCACTTCCAAGTTTTTTCATAGTTAACTGGAGATAAGAGTCTCTTAGACCCGTCTGCCAGAGTGGCTTCAAACCTCAATCCTCAGATCTTAGCCTCCTAAGTAGCAAAAATTATAAGCATGAGCCATTGATGCCTGCTCTCCTGAAAATTTCTAATTAACGGGAAATGAAAAAGTTAATGGGGGGCTGGGAAGGTGGCTCAGTGGTAGAGTGCTTGCCTTGCATGCATGAGGCCCTGGGTTCGATTCCTAAGCACCACATAAGCAGAAAAAGCCAGAAGTGGCGCTGTGGCTCAAGTGGTAGAGTGCTAGCCTTGAGCTGAAGAGCTGAGGGACAGCGCCCAGGCCCAGAGTTCAGGCCCCATGACTGGCAAAAAAAAAAAAAGTTAATGGGAACACATAAGAGGTAAATAGAATGAAACTTTAAAACCAATAAAAATAGCACTGTCTGCATTATGCTCAGATTGTTTTTAAAAAGACAATTACACATCAACAGTTTTTTCAGGGGGTTCTTCTTCTTTGACAGGCAGCTCTATGGGCTTTGGTTCTTCTTCCTAAATTGAAAACAAAAAGGTTCACATGAATCAATAGTAAATACCCATCAACAGAAAAATATTACAGTAATCCTAGCTACTCAGGAGGCTGAGCTCTGAGAATCGCCCAGGCAGCAAAGTCCATGAGACTCTTATCTCTAAAAAACACTAGAAGGGGATGGGAAGGTAGCTCAGTGGTAGAGCACTTGCCTTGCACGCATGAGGCCCTGGGTTCCATTCCTCAGCACCACATAAGCAAAAAGAAAAAAGCCGGAAGTGGCACTGTGGCTCAAGTGGTAGAGCACTAGCCTTGAGCTGAAGAGCTGAGGGACAGCGCCTAGGCCCAGAGCTCAGGCCCCACAACAGGACCCAAAAAATGAAAATAAAAAAATTTAAAAAACACTAGAAAACCGAAAGTGGCGCTGTAACTCAAGCTATAGAGCACTCGCCTTGAGCTGAAGAGCGCAGGAACAACACCCAGGCCCAGAGTTCAAGGCCCACAACCAATTTAAAAATATATATATTACAACCCCAGAATGAACAAATCTCACAGAACTTTCACTCTGTTCTTGAGCTCCCCAAATAAATTAGCATCTAAAATACTGTAATGGTTAGTATTGAGCAACGTGGAAAGGGCAGTAGCACACTACCAACCCAATTAACCTTAGTTTTTCCAACTTACCTCTGTTTCATCTCCCAATACATCTTCTTCATTTGCCTCTTCTTCAGCTAAAGAACATTAAAATATTCAGGTCAAACTGCATTACAAAACCATCTTGATGACTGAACTAAGAATAAAGTTACAATCACTTTGCTTTCCCAAAATAAAATTAAACAGTGAAGGCCAAATTGATGATTATATAATCTGGAACATTTGAAAAACTGAATGGATTTTGGTCAAGACTACTGGTTCATGCCTATAATCTTAGCTACTTAGGAGACTAAGATATGGAAGATGGTGGTTTGAGGCTGGCTAAGGCAGCCTCAAGTCTGCAATAGTCAGTCACCAAAATAACCACTAAAGAGCCAGATGAGCTGGGCAATGGTGGCTCATGCTGTAATCATAGCTACTCAAGAAGCTGAAATTTGAGGATCGTTCATTGCCAACAAGAACGGAAAAATTCCCAAGACTCTGCTCTCCAATTAACCAACAAAAAGCCAGAAGTGGACTGGGGCCAGTGGTTTACCTCTGTAATCCTAGCTACTCTGGAGGCTGAAAACTGAAGATTGAGGTTTGAAGTCAGCCTGGGCAGAAAAGTCTATGAGATTCTAATCACCAATTAACTACCAAAAAGCTAGAAGGAAAAAAAAAAAAAAGCTAGAAGAAGGGTTCTGGCTCAAGTGGTTAAGTGCTAATCTTGAGCTGCCCCCCCCCCCAAAAAAAAGCCAGAACTAGAGGTAGAGCTTAAGTACTAGAGTACCATCCTTAAGTGAAAAAGCCAAATAGGGCATAAAGCCCTCACTCAGTTCAAGCCCCAATACAGACATACATACAGGTGTGCATGCTGGCACACAAGCACATACACACATACCAAAAAACAAGCTAGACTGGCCAGACTGGAAGTGTGGCTCAAGTGGTAAAACACCAGCCAAACAACTGAGCAAGCAAATGCAAGGTCTCAGGTTCAAAAACAAATATTTGGCTAGGTCTATAGTTGGTGACTCAGGTCTATAGTTCTAACTACTTAGGAGGCTGAGATCTGAGGATCATGGTTCAAAGCCAGCCCAGGAGGAAAGTCTGTGAGATTCTTATGTCCAATTAACCTCTAGAAAACCAGAAGTGGCACTGGGTTCAAGTGGCAGAGTGCTAACCTTGAACACAGAGGCTCAGGGACAGAGCCCAGGCCCTGAATTCAAGCTCCACAACAACACAAGTTTTTCAAAAGACAGAAGCAAAAAAGTAACAGGAGAACGTTTGATTTTCCAAAAACTAAGATTCCTACTTAGGAAAGGATGCCAAAGAAAAATTTAAAAACAAATCACAAAGAAAATATCTCAAGAGCTGGGAGCCGGTGGCTCACGCCTGTAATCCTAGCTATTCAGGAGGCTGAGATCTGAGGATCGCAGTTCAAAGCCAGCCCAGGCAGGAAAGTCCATGAGACTCTTATCTCCAATAACCATTAGAAAACCAGAAGTGGCGCTGTGGCTCAAGCAGCAAAGCGCTCGCCCCAGGCCCACTACCAACCGGAAAAAAAAAGAAAGAAAGAAAATATCTCAGGAGGGTGCCAAAGGCTCACACCTGTAATCCTAACTACTAGAGCCTGAGATCTAAGGGTCACAGTGCAAAGCCAGCCTAGGCAGGAAAGGCTGTAAGCTTTTTTTTTTTTTTTTTTGCTGGTCGTGGGCCTGAACTCTGAGGCGCTGTGCCTCAGCTCTTCAGCTCAAGGCTAGCACTCTAGCTACTTGAGCAACAGCGCCACTTCTAGCTTTTTCTGCTTATGTGATACTGAGGAATGGAACCCAGGGCTTCAGGCATGCAAGGCAAGCACTCTACCACTGAGCCACCTTCCCAGCCCTGGCTGTGAGACTTTTGCCTCCAATTAATCACCAGAAAACAGGAAGTAGAGTTGTGGCTCAAAGTGGTATAGCTCTACCTTGGGTGAAAAAGCTCAGGGACAGTACCAAGGCCCTAAGTTCAAGCCCCATGACAACCCCCCCCCCAAAAAAAAAAGAATAAAAATAAAATATCCATGTCTGAAAACAAAAAAGTTACTAGAATTAAAAAAAAAAAAATCAAGCCAGGTACTGGTGGTGAATGCCTGTAATCCTAGCTACTAAGGAAGCTGAGATCTGAGGATTGAGATTCAAAACTAGCTCTTATCTCCAATTAACCACCAAAAAACCAGAAGTGGTGCTGTGGCTCAAGTGGTAGAGTACTAGCTTTGAGCTGAAGAGCTGATGGACAGCGCCTATGCCCAGAGTTCAAGCTCCAGGACCAAAAAAAAAATCTACAAACTAGTAAGGAAGCTCAAAACTGGGCAAACAAACTTAAAAAGCTATGACAAAAAGGAAAGATAAGTTAAAAACAACAAATGAACAGATAGAGGACACTTGATAGGATATCAAATTTAGGTTTGTGTAGATACAAAAACTCTGATGCATCAGTGTTAAAAGTATAGACTTAAGGCCCTGGTGGCTCAGGCTTATTGTCTTAGCTACTCAAGAGGCTGAGAGCTAAAGATCATGGTTCAAAGTTTGCCCAGGCAGATAGTGCCCAAGTCCCAAGTTCAAGCCCTAGTTCTCTCTTCTCCTTCTCTCTCTCTCTCTCTCTCTCTCTCTCTCTCACACACACACACACACACACACACACAGAAAGAAAAAAGAAATCAGGGTCTGTTTTTTGTTTTTTTTTTTGGGGGGGGTGGGGGTCTGGTTGTGGGGCCTGAACTCTGGGCCTGGGCGCTGTCCCTCAGCTCTTCAGCTCAAGGCTAATGCTCTACACTTGAGCCACAGCGCCACTTCCGGCTTTTTTCTTTTTGCTTACGTGGTGCTGAGGAATCGAATCCAGGGCCTCATGCATGCAAGGCAAGCACTCTACCACTGAGCCACCTTCCCAGCCCCTTGTTTTTATTTTCTTCTTCTTCTTCTTTTTTTTTGTTTTTGTTTTTGTTTTTGGTCCGGTCATGGGGCCTGAACTCTGGGCCTGAGCGCTGTCCCTCAGCTCTTCAGCTCAAGGCTAACGCTCTACACTTGAGCCACAGCGCCACTTCCGGCTTTTTTCTTTTTGCTTACGTGGTGCTGAGGAATAGAACCCAGGGCCTCATGCATGCAAGGCAAGCACTCTACCACTGAGCCAACTTCCCAAACCATGTTTTTATTTTTTTTTTTTTTTTGTCGGTCGTAGGGCTTGAACTCTGGGCCTGGGCGCTGTCCCTCAGCTCTTCAGCTCAAGGCGAGCGCTCTACCACTTGAGCTACAGCGCCACTTCCGGTTTTCTGGTGGTTTATTGGAGATAGGAGTCTCACGGTCTCTCCTGCCCGGGCTGGCTTTGAACCGCGATCCTCAGATCTCAGCCTCCTGAGTAGCTAGGATTACAGGCGTGAGCCACCAGCGCCCGGCTGTTTTTATTTTCTTAAAGGCAGAAATGGAAAATGTCAGACCTAGGAGGGACCATGGCTTGCCTAGTTTATAGACTTCAAGGTTCCAGACACATATATCATAAATCATGAATACTTAAGACATGTAAGAAGTTTGACATAGTAAATTCTTAGTAAATGAGTAATTAAAATTCAGGACTTTAAAATTTTAGTCCAGTGATACTTGTACCACTAGGCTAACCCCTCCTCCTTTTCCTCCCTCCGCCCTTCCTTCATTCCTTCCTTCCTTAAGACAGAGCTTCATTAATTATCCATGCTGGCCTCAAATTCATAATTCTTCTTTATCAGCCTCCCAGCAGCTGGGATTAACAGGCTAACACATTTATGACACATAAACACACGCACTCTCATACATTCATTCATTCACTTTTGTAGAGCTAGGATTCAAACACAGGTCCTTCTGTATGCTAGACAAATGATCTACTATTGAAAACTACACTTTAACTCTCCATGCTAACCTTGTATGTGAGCTCACATGTATGTGCCAATACTGGCTCTTGAACTCAGGACCTCCCATTCTTGCTTAGCTTTTACACTCAAGACTGATGCTATATCTGCACTTTCAGCTTTTTGCTGATTAATTGGAGGCAAAAGTTATCTCAGATTTGTCTATCCAAGTTGATTTTGAGCCAGGAACTTCAGATCTTAGTTTTGTTTTTGTCAGTCATGGGGCTTGAACTCTAGGCCTGGGCGCTGTCCCTGAGCTCTTCAAGTCAAGGCAGTGCTCTACAACTTGAGCCATAACTACAGCCACAGCCCCACTTCTGGTTTTCTAGTGGTTAATTGGGGATAAAAGAGTCTCAGACTAACCTGCCCAAGCTGGCTTTGAACTGCAATCCTCAGATCTCAACCTCCTAAGTAGCTCTTTTTTTTTTTTGGGTCAGTTGTGGGGCCTGAACTCTGGGCTTCGGTGTTGTCCCTCAGCTCTTCAACTCAAGGCAAGCACTCTACCAATTGAGCCACAGTACCACTTCCAACTTTTTCTGCTTGTGTGGTGCTAAGGAATCGAACCCAGGGCCTCATGCATGCAAGTCAAGCACTCTACCACTGAGCCGCCTTCCCAGCCCTGTGAGAGATTCTTTTTTTCTTTTTTTGGGTCCGGTGGTGGGGGCCTGAACTCTGGGTCTGGGCACTGTCCCTCAGCTCTTCAGCTCAAGGCTAATGCTCTACCACTTGAGCCACAGCGCCACTTCCGGCTTTTTTCTTTTTGCTTATGTGATGCTGAGGAATCGAACCCAGGGCCTCATGCATGCAAGGCAAGCACTCTACCACTGAGCCAGCTTCCCAGCCGCGTGAAAGATTCTTATCTCCAATTAACCACCAGAAAACCAGAAGTGGCCCTGTGGCTCAGTGGTAGACTGCTCACCTTGAGCTTCTAAGAGCTCAGGGACAGCACCCAGGCCCAGAATTCAAGCCCCACAACCAAGAAAAAGTAGTTCGATGCTGGTGACTTATGCCTGTAAATCCTAGCTACTTAGGAAAGTGAGATCTGAGGACTGCTATACAAAAAGTGTGTAAGACTATGTAACTCCAATAAAATACTCCTGAAGTCATAGAGAGCTAGGTTAGGTCCTGAGTTCAATGAAGCCCCAGTACCAACACACACACACACACACACACACACACACAAAATGAAGCTCCAGTGTACACACACACACACACACACAGTGAAGGATAGGGGGGGAAAAAAGCTAACCTGGGGCTGGGAAGGTGGCTCAGTGGTAGAGCGCTTGCCTTGTATGCATGAGGCCCTGAGTTCGATTCCTTAGCACCACATAACCAGAAAAAAAAAGCCGAAAGTGGCCCTATGGCTCAAGTGGTAGAGTGCTAGCCTTGCGCTGAAGAGCTGAGGGACAGCGCTCAGGCCCAGAGTTCAGGCCCTACAACTGGACCGCCCCCCACCAAAAAAAAAAAAGAAAGAAAAAAAAGCTAACCTAAAGTTGCCCTATAAAATGTGTTTTATATTAATAATAACTACTCCGTTTTAGATGATCAAGAGCTTTGGGTGGTTTTACTTTTTTCAAGATATGGTCTTTATTACGTAGCTCAGACTGGCCTTAAACTCACAATTATGCCTAAATTTCTCAAGCGCTAGAATATGTGTACCATGCCCAGCCCAAGTTTTCTTTTCTTTTCTTTTTTTTTGTCAGCTGTGGTGCTTGAACTCCTCCTGGGCACTGTCCCTCAGCTCTTCAGCTCAAGGCTAGCGCTCTGCCACTTATGCCACAGTGCCACTTCCAGTTTTCTAGTGGTTAACTGGAGATAAAGAGTCTCACAGACTTTCCTGCCTGGGCTGGCTTTGAACCATGATCCTCAGATCTCAGCCTCCAGAGTAGCTAGGATTACAGGTGTGAGCCACCAGCACCTGGCCCAAGAGTTTTCTTGATGATCTTAGAGTTTACACTAGCAATGATCTAAGGAAGGAAGAAATCTAAGTGTCAGAGTCTAAAAATTAATCCCCTTACATCACCTGGCCTCCACATGTACTCACCATGCTCCTCAAGATAAGCCTGGAGCCTGTTGATGAGATCTTGTTTTATTCCTTTAGTCTCCAAACCACGAGCAAGACATTCTTGCTTTAGTTCAGCAAGCTGGAAAAAAAATTTTCCCTTAGTTAACAGGATGAATCCCAATGAGTAAAAGATGTAGTAATCACCAAAAAATATATATAAAATAACTATCTAGGTGCTGATGGCTCATGCCTGTAATCTTAGCTATTCAGGAGGCTGAGATCTAAGGATCACAGTTCATAGCCTATCTTGGCAGGAAAATCCAAGAGACTTATCTTTAAATAACAACCTAAGAGCTGAAGTGGTGGAAGAGTGCCAGCCTTGAGCAGAAAATCTAAGGGACACTGCCAAGGCCCTAAATTTAAGCTACACTCAAACAATCAATAAAATTAGAAGAAATGAGAGATAAAGTTCAATTTAAACCTACTGCTTTTAAATTGGAAATGGTGGCTCATACCTGTAATCCTAGCTATCTGTAAGCCAGCCCAAGCAGGAAAAGTTCATGAGACTCTTAATCTCCAATTAGCCACCAAAAAGCCAAAGTGGAGCAGTGGCTCAAGTGCCAGAGCACTAGCCTTGCACACAAAAGCTCAGGGACAGCACCCAGGTGGAGTTCAATCCCCAGGACCGCACAAATAAACATAAATAAATAAAACTACTGCTTTTAATAATACTAAAACCCGGGCTGGGTAATTGGTTCAGTGGTAGAGTGCTTGCCTTGCATGCATGAGGCCCTGGGTTTGATTCCTTAGCACCCATAAGCAGAAAAAGCTGGAAGTGGTTCTGTGACTCAAGTGGTAGAGTGCTAGCCTTGAGCTAAAGAGCTGAGGGACAGCCAGGAGCCTGTGGCTCACGCCTGTAATCCTAGCTACTCAGGAGGCTGAGATCTGAGGATCGAGGTTCAAAGCCAGCCCAGGCAGCAAAGTCTGTGAAACTCTTATCTCCAATAAACACTCAGAAAACCGGAAGTGGTGCTGTTACTCAAGTGGTAGAACGTTTGCCTTGAGCTGAAGAGCTGAGGGACAGTGCTCAGGCCCAGAGTTCAAGCCCCACAACAGACAAAAAAAGAAAGAGCTGAGGGACAGCACCCAGGCCCAGAGTTCAGGCCCTATGACCAACAAAAATAAGTAAATAAAAATTAAAAAAAAAAAATACTAAAACCCTATACTCAACAAAGATGACAAACTTTTCTTTCTTTCTTTCTTTTTTTTTGTCAGTCGTGGGGCTTGAACTCTGGGCTTGGGCGCTCTCTTAGCTCTTCAGCTCAAGGCGAGGGCTTAAGACCACAACACCACTTCTGGTTTTCTGGAGCTAAGTGGTTTATTGGAGCTAAGAGTCTCATGGACTTTGGTGCCAGGGGTGGCTCTGAACTTCAATCCTCTAATTTCAGCCTCCTGAGTAGCTAAGATTACAGGTGTGAGCCACCAGCACCCAGCTTCAGCTAATTTTTTTGGCACTAAGAACAAAAAAAATTTGATTTCTAACAATTGCTCTGCAAATTACTATATGGAAAAAAACAAACAGGTTCTCCCTATCACCTAGCTACGATTTGGATATGGTATGAGCTTGTTCTCCTGTGTGGTGACGTTGGAAGATAGAACCTCTAAAAGGTAGAACAGCCAGGAAAGGCGGGACACACCAATAATCCCAACACACAAGAAGCTGGGGCAATGGGCTGGGAAGGTGGCTCAGTGAGCGCTTGCCTTGCATGCATGAGGCCCAGGGTTCGATTCCTTAGCACTACATAAGCAAAAAGAAAAAAGCCAGAAGTGGCATTGTGGCTCAAGTGGTAGAGTGCTACCCTTGAGCTGAAGAGCTGAGGGACAGTGCCCAGGCCCAGAGTTCAGGCCCCACGACCGGACCCCAAAAAAAAAAAAAAAAAAAAGAAGCTGAGGCAAGAGGACTTTGAACTGTCATGGCTACATAGAGGACAGCCTTTGCTACACAGGAAGGCAATGTCTCAAGAAAAAGAAAAGGAAGCCGGGTGCTGGTGGCTCACGCCTATAATCCTAGCTACTCAGGAGGCTGAGATCTGAGGATCGAGGTTCAAAGCCAGACATTAGACTCTAATCTCCAATTAACCACAAGAAAACTGGAAGTGGCACTGTGGCTCAAGTGGTAGAGCACTTGTCTTGAGCTGAAGAGCTCAGGGACAATGACCAGGCCCAGAAGTCAGAGTATAAGGAAAGGGTTCTTAACTAGGGGTCCATGGCTCTTCAGGACTTCAAGATAATTTTATAGAGCCCCTCCAACTTCTGGGGAAAGGAATATACTTTTCATCAGAGTTTAGAGATACTTGTGTAAAAAGGTAAGAAGTGCTCTGAAGAAAAAGCAGATAAGCAAATGTAATTAAAGAATGTATCCTGAAGACAGCTCTGAGCCATCAGATACCACTGAGATGCCATGTAAAATGAGGACTCACAGGTGGATTCAAGCAAAGTGGTATTGAGTCATACAATATGTAACCCCTTGTGTTTGACTCTAGAGTGCGCACGCGTGCCAGCATGCAAGTGCATGTGTGCCAGTACTGGGATTTGAACTCAGGATATCATACCTTTGCTTGGCTTTTTCACTCAAGCACAACACTATGACTTGAGTCGCACCTCCACTTCCAGGTTTTTGTTGGTTAACTGGAGACAAGAGTCACTTGGATCTGGATCTGTCTGCCTTCAAAACATGATCTTCAGATCTCAGCCTTCTAAGTAGCTAGAATTACAGGTATGAGCCACCAGTTGCTGGCTGATATCTGGATTTTTTTTTTAATATACAAAAATGTTTTTAAGGCTTACCCAAAAAGCTTTTCAGTTTAATAAATTTCAACTTAATATCAAAAAAAGAGGAGGAGGAAGGGAGAGGAGGTGGGAGAGGAAGAGGAGGAGGAAGAGAAGGAGGAGGGAGAGGGGAAGGGGAAAGGGGAAGGGAGGGGAATGGAGGGAAGGGGAGGGGAGGGGGAGGGGGAGGGGGAGTCCTGAGCCAAGGCTAGTGGTTCTTGCCTATAACCCCAGCTAGGAAGGCAAGAAGGGTTGGAGGCCAAACCAGGAAAAGTTAGTAATACTTTATATCTCAAGATCAAACAAGAAAAAACATCCTTGGACTGAGGTTGTAGCTTAGTGGCAGAGCAGTGCTCAGCATGTATAAGATCCTGGGTTGATATATGGTACTAGGAGAAAAAAAGTGGTAGTGGGAAGGGAGTGAATCCTCTTTAGATCCTCAGGAGCGCTTGCCTCATGAGTCTCCTAGACCATAATATCTGAAATCAGGTCAGAGACTATTATGTAAAAGTGATTTAACCATTCAAATGCAAATTTTATATAAACCTGACAGATACTGATTGAATGTGAAAAAAGGGACAGTGCCCTGGCCCAAACCCGCATTACTGCCCCCCTCCCCGAAAAAAAAGGTTCTCAAGATGATGTGACCAAAACAAGAGCAAACATCTAAATGGGAAAACTACAAATCACAAATAAGGAACTAATCAAGATATTCTCTTCCTAAAAGGAACTACTATCTCCTAGGAATGATATTCTAAGTGCAGGAAAGCTACCAAGATTCCCAAAAGGTACAACTTAAAATAGCTCCTGGGGGGGGCTGGGAAGGTGGCTCAGTCGTAGAGCGCTTGCCTTGCATGCCTGAGGCCCTGGGTTCGATTCCTCAGCACCACATAAGCACAAAGAAAAAAGCCGGAAGTGGCGCTGTGGCTCAAGTGGTAGAGCGCTAGCCTTGAGCTGAAGAGCTGAGGGACAGCGCCCAGGCCCAGAGTTCAGGCCCCATGACCGAACCAAAAAAAAAAGCTCCTGGGGTTCAGAACGCCTTCCAATGGAGCTATCAGGACCCAATATGAAACAGGCCAAAGATGACCCTAACTTTGGAACTATTTTTTCCCAAACTATTGCAGTTATGGGCTCTCTCTCAGTGGCAGGAGGGGTACATCAGGTGAGATAACTGGAGAAACTTTGAAAGCTGAGGTGTCTGTATTTTCACAAACTTTTCAAGGCTGCCTTAACACCAAGCTTCTGTGGAGAGGGCTATTTTCTAAGGCCTCACCATGGTTTCAATTGTTTTTAGGGGGGGTGAGGGGGGTCAGTCTGGGGCTTCAATTCAGGGCCTGGATGCTGTCCTTCAGCTCTCGCACTCAAGGCTAGTGAGCTACCACTTTGAGCCACAGCTCCATTTCCGGTTTTCTAGTGATTAATTGGGGCTAGAAGTCTCACAGACTTTCCTGGCTTCGAACGGTGATCCTCAGATCGCAGCCTCCTAAGTAGCTAGAATGACAGGAGCCACTGTGCCCCACTGGTTTCAAAATTCTTAGGCGTGCCCTACCTAGAAAAAGGGAACGCAAGCATTTTCGGAATCATGTTCAGGATATATAGGTATATGTAGGTGCATGGCCATCTACATACGCAAAAATGCTCATCATCGGCTAACAGGAGAATCTCGGCTTTGGGTCAGCAGACTGGAAAGCACCAATTTGGGCTGGGATCTGCCTGGGGCAGAGGAGGGACGACTGACGTAACCCAGCGTTAGAAAAACGAGTAATAAACCCGACCGAGGTGGGGAGGGGTTGGCGGGCAAAGCGACGACAGGAAGGAAGCCGAAACTACAGGTAGAGGCAGCGATACATTGGTGAGAAGTGGGGCCTTTGGGCAGGGAGGCATAAAAGAACCACAGCCGGAGCCGGAAACGACGTGGGAAACCCTGAAAGGAGAACTTCCAAGAGAAGAAAGCGCAATCCTCCCGGAAAGCCCACCTCAGCCCTTTCCTCTCCCCACTGTACCTTCAGCTTATGGAGCTCCACCGTCTCCGCCGCCATCTTGTTACCCCTCCACTCCACTAGGCCCCCACCGGCTGCCTCCGCCTCCCGGAGCTCCCGCCTAGACGTAGGAACCAGAGCCAACCAATCGCTGCCACTCTTACTTCCACCTTAGACCATCGGCTCCCCTCATTCGTCAACGGCTGACGTGACTCTCACGCCTCTCGGCAGCTTTCCACGGTTCTCTCAAAAGTAGGACCTGGGAGAAGGGGGCGGGACCCGCAGCTACCTAACGACCTAAAAAGCGACCAATTGTACGTCCACCTTGCAGACACTGGTAGCAGCGCTTAGTCTGCTCTACCAATTGAGAGCGCGCAAAGGGGAGAAGGCGGGCACTTCCGGGAGAACACAGGTGTAGAGCCCAGCGCCGCGCCCCTAGCCGGACGGGTCCCCGAAGCTGGCAGGTAGGAGCTGCTTAAATCCTCGAATTTGCTGCCGAGGGAAAACGGTGGGAGGCAGAATGAGTGGCGGAGAGTTAAATATCAAGAAGGCAGGGCTGAAGAAAGTTTTAATATATCGGAAGAGCGAACGTGGGACGCTGGGAGGACCTCGGGGCGGGCGCGATACTGGGGCTTAGGGTATTTTAGGGCGGGCCAGAAGAGCTGCTTGCTAACCAGGCGTCGTTTGCTTAAAGGCTAGCACTTTTAAAGAGCCAAGTTGATTACCTAGGCTTTTAATTGAGATTTTTACTTGGGCAATTCAACTCTTTATTTCCAAGATTTCGGCTTGGCTCTCCCCCCCCCCCCCCCCGAGTTAACATTTCTTTATTAAAAAGCTCCTTATCTCCTTCATTGCCTTCGTTAATTTAATCGTTTGTATTCTCTTGTTCATTTGAGCTGCCCTAGCTTTAAGTAGCGCCGTCTCTTCAGGTTTGAGCTCAGTTCTCTTAGTTCAGACCAGAAAACTGGGCAAGTTCTTGCAGCGCCTCATAGTTGAGAGAAAGAATAAGGTTGTTGGCTGCTGACATGCTAGGAGAGTAGGAGGTTGAGCAAGCCCCAGAGAAAAAAGTGGGGACTAATGGTAGTTTTACTCTCAGTCCTTCTACTGGCCCCTTGATTGACTCTTAAAAGAACACCGAATATGTGTGACCTTTTCCTGATTACTTACGAATTTCTTCCAAGTTAGGTGTAACCCCCACTCCTTGAAGCGGGTGCCCCAAGCCTAGGCTTATTCCATGTTACAGTGAAAGTGTAAGGATCAAAGTAAAAATTGCCATAATGACTCTTCTTTTGTAATTTTCCCCAAGTCTGTAGTCTGCATGATAAAGTAGTTCTTTCATGTATAACAGAGTTCAGAGGACTGGGCTCTTTAGGAGACAACTAGGGAAAACAAACTCAAACACAGGTTATGAAGAAATTGAGTTGGATTCCTGTCTGAACCTTCATTGTGGTAGGATGAATGTGGGGGTAGCACACAGTGAAGTAAATCCCAACACTCGAGTGATGAACAGTCGGGGCATCTGGCTGGCCTACATCATCTTGGTAGGACTGCTGCATGTGGTTCTACTCAGCATCCCTTTCTTCAGCATTCCTGTTGTCTGGACCCTGACCAACGTCATTCATAACTTGGTGAGCACTAAACCATACCCTTGTAACTACCCCAGGCCTTTCCCAACCAAAATAAAATCACCAATTGTGTGGGGATTTATGTCTTCCTTGTGGAATCTTAAGCATAATTCTTGAGCTGAAGGACTACTTTGCCTCTCAATACTGTCCATTTCCCTCTTCCCAGGCAATGTATGTCTTCTTACATACAGTGAAAGGGACACCCTTTGAGACTCCTGACCAAGGAAAAGCTCGACTTTTGACACACTGGGAACAGATGGACTACGGGCTCCAGTTTACTTCTTCTCGCAAGTTCCTCAGCATCTCTCCTATTGTACTGTGAGTCTGTGGGATAGGGAAGATGCTGCTGAAATCAGAAACAATTCTAGAGCAAGGTGGTAAAGTTCATAGAGAAGCTTTAAAAGGTAGACTTCCAGACTAGGAATATGGCTTAGCGGTAGAATGTTTTCCTAGCATGCATGAAGCCCTGGGTTTGATTCCTCAGTACCACATAACAGAAAAGGTGGGGCTGGGAAGGTGGCTCAGTGGTTGAGTGCTTGCCTTGCATGCTTGAGGCCCTGGGTTTGATTCCTCAGCACCACATAAGCAGAAAAGGCTGGAAGTGGCACTGTGGCTCAAGTGACAGAGTGATACCCTTGAGCACAGGCCCAGGCCCTGAGTTCAAGCCCCAGGACTGGCTAAAAAATAAAAGGCAGACTACCTAGTAAGACCCTTTGTCCTAAGTCTACAAAGAATAGTAAAAAGTAGAAGACAGTAGTAAAGCATTCCTTGCTGCCTCCTTGGTAGTAAGAAAATGGAAAAAAAGTTTGAGGAAAAGAAAAACTCCAGCCATTTGCTACTCAGAAGGCTGAGATCTGGGGCTCAGTGGTAGAGCGCTTGCCTTGCATGCCTGAGGCCCTGGGTTCAATTCCTCAGCACCACGTAAGAAAAAAGCCGGAAGTGGTGCTATGGCTCAAATGGTGGAGCGCTAGCCTTGAGCTGAGGGACAGTGCCCAGGCCCAGAGTTCAGGCCCCACGACCGGACCAAAAAAAAAAAAAAAAAGAAGGCTGAGATCTGAGGATTGTGGTTCAAAGCCAGCCCAGGCAGAAGAGTCTGTAAGACACTTATCTCCAATTAACCACCAGAAAATGGGAAGTGGAGCTGTAGCTCAAAGTGGTAGAGCACTAGCCTTGAGCTGAAGAGCTTGGAGACAGTGCCCAGGCCCAAAGTTCAAGCCCCATGACCAACAAAAAAGAAAAACTCCAAATAAAAGCAAGTAATTTTACAGTTCCATAAGATGCAAATAAAGGCAGAAATGAAAGTCTTCAAAAACTGGGGAAAGTGGAAGCAGAGAGGACTCTTAAAGAGTCATATGGGCTGAAATAAACACAGATTTATAGTCTCCAATCAAAGGTACTGATTATATCCTCAACTCAAAAATAAATATTGATAAAGCTTTTCCAATATCCAAGGAATACATGCAAAAAAAAAAGAAAAAAATAAGAAAGAACAAACCAACCTGGTCATTTAAAATAGAAACTCATTGGAAAAGCATGAGCATGGATAGAAACATCTATACCACACTCATCCTATTTTTTTTTTTTCTCTTCCCTAGCTACCTACTGGCCAGCTTCTACACGAAGTATGATGCTGCTCATTTCCTCATCAACACTACCTCACTGCTCAGTGTACTGCTGCCTAAGTTACCACAATTCCATGGGGTTCGTCTCTTTGGCATCAACAAATACTGAAGGATGGGCTGAAGACAACTACATAGGCATGGAGAAGGCACTGGGACGAAGACTAACATTTTTTTTTTTCCACTTCTCCATTCTGAGAACTATAGAACCTTTCCCAAACTCCCAGGAAGCAAAGAAATTAGAAATTGTTGCTCTTGTTAAAGACAAGACTTTGAGTCAGGAAAGGCAGATGAGATTAATGGCCAAATCACCCTGTGTAACAGGATGCCATCCATGTTTGAGCAGCTTTTTCCTTCTCTACCACCTTCTAGTTCTGTTTTGCTGTGTATTTTCCTCATAATAAAAATAATTTTTTTCAGCTGCCACTTGGTCAGCAAGGATAGGGTGATGTCATAATGCTGGGAAGGAAATACAGCACACTGACTTACTTAGAAAATTTTAAATCATTTGTTATCCCTTTGCCTTTGGTATAGTAGGTTTCCTTCACTCTCAGCTAACTTGGCAGAGGAAAGATTCTGAATTGAGAAAAGGGGCTCCCCAACTATGTGGGCAAAGAAGAAAGGGAAGATATAGGTTGCCAGTTATATATTTATAGAAAGATAATCCCCTGGCTTTAAATAGATATGTACATACAAATATGAACAAACTTAAAAAAATACAAACCCTTGGATCACATTGGGGCTTCTGCAAAGTCCCTTTATCCTTCCCCCTCACCCAAGGGTAGAGGGCATGAGTCTGCTTTTTAAAAATTATTAATTTTGGCCATCCTTGCAGCAACAAGCCAGACATTGGGTAATCTTCCCACAAGGTGAAAAGTCAGAGGAAAAATTCCATTTCCACTCTTTGAACTCTTATGCCTCTTCACAATTAGGGCTACATGCTTTCTCATTCTCTTTTTGACTAATATCTCAGGTTAAAAGAGGAGGTTCCCCCTAAAATAAAATACACTCAGTTTAAAAGGGGGTGTCATTTGCCCTAAAAGCAAGTAAGACAATCGTTTACTGACCTTAGGGAAATACCCAGTTTTCACATCATAAAGGAATATACTGTCTAGCCTAGGTCTAAGACCTAGGTTCTTTGCTCTAGCTACCCCCTATTTCTTTGGTATTGTCAGAAGACAAGATTCGGTTCCTAGGTGTTGGGGAGGAGGAAAAGTGGCTTCCTACAAGTACTGAGTGAACAACTGAAGCATAAATTTTTCCCTTTTCGAAATAGTTAAAAATAAAACAAAACAAACTTCATCCTGCGCTGTACACAGCCCTTTTGACTCCCTGACATTATTTGAGGAAAGAAGAGAAGGGGTGTCAACGTTGGAAGGGCCTCCTCACTTTCTTCCGCCGCTTGGGTTTGGCTTCTCCCTTGGGTACTGTGCTGTTGGGCTTGGAAGCTGCAGTGGCCCCAGGGCCAGGCTGAGGAGCTGCAAAGAAGTTCCCATTGGACATCTGGCCTGGGGGTACTTGAAAAATCCGGCTCAAGAAATCCTGGAGGTCAGCAGGAGGGGTATCTGGGGTGGTTCTGAGGGAGGGGGGGGGGGGGGAAATAAGTGAATAAGCCAAGAGATGTTAAATAATATAGCTACCTAAGATTATACTGAGTCAATTCCCAGACTTCCCGGAAAGTAAGGCACTTAAATATTCTAAACAGCAAGTCATTTGAAACCATACCCAAGAACTGAAATAGGGCTAGGAATGTGGCTTAGTGGTAGAATGCCTGCCTAGCATGCATGAAGCTGTGGGGTTCAAATCCTCAGTACCACATAAACAGAAAAAGCTGGAAATGGCACTGGGGCTCAAGTGGTAGAGTTCTAGCCTTGAGCAGAAGCAGCTCAGGGACAGTGCCCAGGCCCTGAGTTCAAGCCCCAAGACTGGCCAAACAAACAAAAAACTGAAATATTGGATAGATAATTCAAAGGAACACCACCTACCTCTGGCGACCACTGGTGCCTGGCATCCGAGAACCAAATGAGATATGATAGGGAACTCTGTGGGTATCTGGGGAGATTCCCACACGCTGGCATCCAGCCCACTCTGCAAAATGGAGAAACAATTAGCCAGAAAATCGCAGTTTAGAGTACACAAGATGAAGTATGAAGATTTCCAGAGGACAGAAAGGTACCTGTAATGTCATAGACCTTTCCATCCATCAGTGCAAAGTAGGTGATTTTGAGGCCCAACATGCTTGACTCTGCCCAAAAGTCTCCTTCCTCAGCAGGATGCAGTCTATTACACTCAGCACAGTATCTAGCACTCTTAGGTTCACGGTCCATTTCAAACCTCCTGCAACCAAATAAAAGTACAGTACTTAATATTTTGTTAAGTCTTCCAAGGGCACTGCCAGTAGTGTCTCATCATTACAATCAAATGTATCAACAAAGTTAAAAATAATCTCTACTTGTTATATATGCCTATGTACAGGCTTCCCTCAACTTTCAATCTTAAGGCTAATTTTGTTTTCTTCCTGCTAATTCAAATCCTCAGTCTTGCTGGGCTCTGGTGGCTCATAATTATTCCTAGGTACTCAGAAGGCTGAGATCTGCTGATCATAGTTCAAAGCCAACCAGCCAACCCAGGCAGAAAAGTCTGTGAGACTCAATAAAATACTCAGAAAAAGCCAGAAGTGGAGCTGTGGCTCAAGTGGTAGAGCGTTAGCCTTAAGCAAAAGAAGTTCAGGGACAGTACCCAGGCCCTGAGTTCAAGTTCCAGGACTCGTGCACACGCACTTACAAACACACAAAGGAATTCTCAATCTCTTGTAATACAGGAACAGTGGAGGGACCTCAGGCTCTTTTTACTCATCACCTGTATCCCACAATTATCAGGTTTTTGTTTTTTCCCTCAGCCAAGAAGCATGTTTGGCTACCCAACCTCCATCTCCCTCTCTCTCTCTCTCCCTCTCCCTTCCTCCCCCATTCTTGGATTTGAACTCAGGACCTAGCACACATGCACACCTCATTCTAGTTACCCAACCTCTGAGTTGTGGCTCTCCCATCCCTGCCCTCCTAATTCATACCTATGCTTTCCTTGGCATCGGCTGCACATCATAGTATTCATTGCCTCTTTAAGGTCATCTTGCAGCTTGGATAGGAACTCATTCACTGACCGGCTCAGCTCATTCTCTGCCATTCGTTTCCTAAAAGGAAGGCTTTAAATTAGAGTATTGAGGAAGGAACAAAGAGACAGACCTATTTGCCTCTTGAGGCCCTACTAGCTAGAAAAGAACTTCATTCAGTTCCCTCTTCCTGACAGTCTCTATCTACAAGTCCAAGGGCCTCTCCTATTGGGTACTTTTTAATCTATTTCACCTGACCATTTCCCATCTCCAACTTACATTTCATATTCTTTCCGCTTTTCAGGGTTGCTGACAATGTCCCAAGCTGCCCGCAAAACTTTGAAGGCCTCTTCAGCCCGAGGATGATGATTTTTATCAGGATGAACCTACCACGACAAAGAACCTACCATCACAAATCCATTCCAACCCTATCTTGGGTCCATTCCCATATCAAAGTTTTGTAGAATCAGTTTTCCTTAATGACTACTTTGCTTCTGCAAACAGACCTGAGTTCAGGTCCCAGGTGTCATCTCTATGACCTTGAATATTTCACATTTTATCTATTACAGATTGAGAAGATTAAGTAAGAATACATATGAAGAATGTAGCACACAATCTGGCTATCCACTATCTCATTTTGCCTGGAATTATGCCAATTTAGTACTGAAAATGCACGTAGGGATGGTTGGTCATCCTGCCTAACAAACATTGAAAGCCCTTGAATTGTAGTTGTATTACCAATCATCAGAGTTTCAAAAATTTTATTCACACTTATTCTTTTCCTACTAGAAAAATCTCATATCTGAAGCTAACATAGTGGTTTATGCCTACAATCCCAGTACTCAGGAAGCCTGAATCAGGAAGATCACATTTGAAATCTGCCTAGGTTACAAAGGGAATTTCAGGTCACCCTGAGCTACCTATCTAGTTAGACACTATCTCAAAAGAAGAAAAAAAAATTCATTTCCAAGACTTACTACAATAATCTGCCTTTCTGTTCCAGAAATTAAATAGCATATGGTATTCTCCTACGCTTTTTATACATTTTTCAGTGTTTCCTCCATAACAAGTAATAGCCTCTCTTCTAGTTTCCTGAATGTCCCATTTTCATTGCCTAAATACCACTTGAGGCTCACCCCCCAGCCTTCTTCATGGATGCTAAATAAAAGAATGCTATTAAACTTCCCATATTCCCAGGCTAATATGACAAGGTCAACAGGATCTAGGTTCTCTAAAAGAAGACCACTAGAAACTCTAGTCCAGGGGAAAAAGAGAGACAGAGACAGAGAGAGAGGGAACGAACTTTGGGGTTTAGGAGCTGTAAAGGATGAAGAAACCCGAGTTAAAAAAAATATATATTTCCCAAGATGGAATGTCTGCTAAAAGACATGAAAGTGAGAAGAGATCTATTAAGGATAAAGTTATTTTAAATTACATGAGGCTATCCTCTTAAGAGTCATTCATTTTCCACAAAACTCATTTGGTTCTTTGGTGAATTACAGATCTGGAGGCTTCTCCCCCCTCCCCCCCCCCCCCCCCCCCCCCCAGTCCTGGGGCTTGAACTCAGGGCCTAGGCACCATCCCTGAAATACTTTTTCTTTTTCTTTTTTTTTTTTTGGGGGGGGGGGTCCAGTCATGGGGCCTGAACTCTGGGCGCTGTCCCTCAGCTCTTCAGTTCAAGGCTAGTGCTCTACCACTTGAGCCACAGCGCCACTTCCGGCTTTTTTTCTTTTTGCTTATGTGGTGCTGAGGAATCGAACCCAGGGCCTCACACATGCAAGGCAAGCGCTCTACCACTAAGCCACCTTCCCAGCCCCTCATCCCTGAAATTCTTTTGCTCAAGGCTAGCACTCGACCACTTGAGGTACAGTGCCACTTCTGGCCTTTTTTGTTTATGTGGTACTGAGGAATCAAACCCAGGGCTTCATGGATGCTAGGCAAGCACTCTACCACTAAGCCACATGGCTAGCCCATGGAGGCTTCTTGTACACCTCTAATTGTTAAGGAAAACTGCCTATTTCTCTTTGTTATGCAGCCATAGAGATAATCTGCACACTGACATTTAATAAGTCCAGATCCATACACTCAGAAGTAGGCCTCTTATATTTTACTTGTACAGAAAGAAGCAACAAACAGTAAGACCTGAAGTGCTCAGCAGAGCTCTTGCCGGTATGCACAAGGCCCTGGGTTTTATCACCAGCAACAACAATCATAATCCTAAAAATGGCAATAATGTTTACCTATAATATCTTTTGTTTTTCCAGGACTGATGATTGAACCCAAGGCCTCCCTCTTTATTTTTTTTTTTGGGGGGGGGTCCGGTCGTGGGGCCTGGGCACTGTCCCTCAGCTCTTCAGCTCAAGGCTAGCGCTCTACCACTTGAGCCACAGCACCACTTCCGGCTTTTTTTTATTTTTGCTTATGTGGTGCTGGGGAATCAGACCTAGGGCCTCAGGCATGCAAGGCAAGTGCTCTACCACTGAGCCACCTTCCCAGCCCAAGACCTCCCTCTTTGTAGGAGAGTGCTATACCACTTGAGGCACACTCCCAGCCCTCTAATTGCAATCTGACTATACACTTGCATTAAACCATTCCCCTCAACTGTACGGTACAGCACCTGCACATTCTCTCGTCGATAAAGTGTAATTTCATATATGATGTACATAAACACATACCTATGATTCATGTTCCATTTTCCTTCCCTCTAATATTTTGGGCTGCTCTTGAAATAGCCTGTTTTCAAAGTTGGGAATATAGCTCAGTAGAGCACTTGCAAGGCTCCAGGTTCTACTCCAAGAGTACCAAAAAATAGCCAGTTTTCTCCTATTCGGTCTTTTTTTTTTTTTGTCGGCCGTGGGGCTTGAACTCTGGGCCTGGGCGCTGTCCCTCAGCTCTTCAGCTCAAGGCGAGCGCTCTACTATTTGAGCTACAGCGCCACTTCCGGTTTCCTGGTGGTTTATAGGA